TCACACGTGATTAAACTGCAGACATCCTCACCGTTCAACGGACACGACTTCTTTACCTGGAGCTTCGAGTTCGAGCTGCTGATGGAGGCTGCGCATCTTCTGGGATACTTCAACGGGTCCCTGCCATTCCCAAGCAACGGCACTGGAAAGGAACAAGAAATCTTCACTTATCAGTCGCTGCTGGCGTATACGGTTCTCCTGAGAAACCTGTCACCACAAGAACAGCAGAGCATCAGAACATACAGGAGCTATGGAAACTCCGCGGAGCTCGCATGGCACCATCTCAAGTGCCTCTACCAAGCAAACGACAGCGTGACACAAAGCAGACTCATGCAACAACTGACAACAATACAAATGAAGACCGGGGAAAAGGCGATGCAGTATATGAGTCGCTGCCAGACCCTCCGCGACCGCCTGCTTCGGTGCGGAGGAACAATCACTGAAGAAAGCTTCGTGACACTTGTCCTCGCCGGGCTCGGGCCAGAATGGAGAACCACACGATCGCTTCTTCGCGCCCACGGAAGGATTTCGGAGATGCACCTCTGCGCCGAGCTTCACGCTGAACAACAGGAGATGGACCTGTTCGAAGAAAGACAACCAAGGAAGCAGCAGCAGTTAGCCTTCTACACTCAACGAAGAAACGACAACACCTACAATCGACGCGGCAAGCAAGAACGCGACAACAGGGGATTTACCTTCGTGCTGCCGTTCTGCCACAACTGCCAGACTTCCGGGCACTCCAAGATCAACTGCAACCGCCCTCGCGTTTACCGTCCACCAGACCCACAAGTCGCTTCCACTCAAGCAAGTCCCCCAAGACGCTCTTCAACATCTGCACAACAGACACCAAACATTATCAATTGCATGGTACACATCGACAACTGCGCACCCGGATCACCACCCACTTACGCACCAGACGAAGAAGAGCTCCCGCCACCGCGCTCACAAGGCCTTCAAGTCAATCCAACATATGCTGCGGTCGCCAACGCCGAACCCACCGGGCGAAACACCTGGTTCTTGGACAGCTGCTGCGGGCAACACATGTGCTCTTCGGGACGATTCGTGCAACAGGAGAAACGCCTCAACCGCGACGTCGTCATCACCGTCGCCAACAACGAAAATCTGAAGACAAACAGACAAGGCGTCGTTCAGTTACAATCCATGGAGACAAACGTCATACTTCAGCTCAACAAAGTCCTCATTGTCGACAACCTGGGATACAACCTACTAAGCGTAAGCCAACTAATGGCCAAGGGGATTCACCTGGAGTGCGACTCCTACTCCAACGAGTTTCGGCTATACCACGGGAAGGGTGGCCTCTTCATCGGTCGTGCCCTCCTGAAATCCGGCGTCTTCGTGTTGGACTTCGTCCCCGACCGCGGTACTGCCGACAGCGACGGCATCGTATCATTCGCCGCCTGGACACACCCGCCGGATCTTGATCCAGAATTCGACAGTGACGGCTTCTGGCACTCCAACACCATACCTGCAGCAGAAAGAACACGAGCATTAGCAGTCATCAGACAAGAAAGACAAGTACCCGCGAGTATCCCAACCAAACCATCACCTGCAGTAGCAGCAGCAGGACCCAGCCGAGTCCCACCACCGGCGATCCGAGGACCGCCAACCGAAGCAGACCAACTTATGCCCATCCCACGAGAAGTTTGTCGAAGTCCCGCCACAGTCGTCGCGTTCTTCTCCAACGCCGACATATACCATCGCTCGCCGGGTCATCGCGCTTCCGACGACATCTGGCACCAACGCCTCGGGCATCCTGCAAACAGCACGATACTACAAACAATCCAAGCAGAGGTGTTAGAACGCAACGCCCTCCTAACGACGAGCGGCCAAGAACTTCGACGACCACGAGCACGGTGCTTCACGTGCCCCGAAGCAGATCTTCCCCATCAGCCTTTTTCCATCTCATCACAACCCAAGCGCACCTACATACGCTCCGATGGAAAAAGTCTACAGCGATATTTTAAACATGCCTCGAGAAGACACCGAAGCCGACTTCAACTACGTCATCACGTTCATCGACGCAGCAACCAGATACGTCTGGCACTTCAATCTCAAGACGCGCGATCAAGCTTTCGACGCCTTCACAACATGGCTTCCCATCGCCGAACGAGAATCAGGAACCAAGCTCAAGAGCTTTCAGTCAGACGGTGCACTGGAATACCAGTCACAACGCTTCAGGACCTATCTGGCGGAAATAGGAATCAGACGCCTGGTGTCTCTGCCCTATGCTCACCAGCAGCAGGGGGTCGCAGAACGCATGAACCGGACCTTGCAGACGACAATGCGAAAACTGCTTCTTGGGATGAGGCTGCCCACCACACTGTGGCCAGACGCGATGACACATGCAGTTCACCTGCACAACCTGCTGTCCTCGTCATCGCATCCCAACAACGCATCACCGCACCTGTTGTGGACAAGAAAAAGGGGCAGCACAAAATTACTCCGAGTTTTCGGCTGCATGGTACAGTACAGACCCCACACAGCCCGAGCAGGACGCTTCACTCAACGAGCTCGGTGGGGACTACACCTCGGCATCGCCAAACATTTTCACGCGTGGAAAATTCTCGACATACAAGACAAAAATACCGTGGCATCACGTGATGTTATCTTCTACGAGCGGCTGACGCTGCAGCATTACCTGGACAACATTGCCAACACACAAGACCCCACCGACGGCTTATCCGGACTTCGTTCCTTCGCTGACCGTGCTGCCGAAGCTGACGCAGCAGAAGAAGACGTACCTGAAGCCTCGGAAGCTGCCGGACCACTCCCATTCTGTTCCGTACCTGTTCCACTCGATGAAGACAATCCTCTCGATAGTAACAACCTCGACACCTTTTACCACCTCGCTGACCAAGGTTATATTACACCCCACCCAGTGGACACAAATGTTTCAGAACGCATCGGTCCCAACTTCTTACCTGACCCAGAAGACGGTGACGAAGCAGCTTATTCCGGGAATGAAAATTCCCCTCGACACACACCAACGGGACTGCAGATTCTAGGCCTCTGGGTCTCCGTCCAGCATCCGCCGCCGCCTTCTCCGCGAGAGCCTTCGACCCTGTCGCAGGCTCTGGGGGGGGAATATAAGGCAAAATGGAAGGAAGCGATGGAAAAGGAGTTAAAGGCTCTGCAAGACCGGAAAACATGGAAACTGGTACCTGCAACAAGCATCAACGGAAAAAACGTCCTCTCGGGGAAATGGGTGTACCGCATTAAGACCAACTCAGACGGCTCCATCGAACGATTCAAAGCTCGATGGGTCGTACGAGGCTTCGATCAACGATACGGGACCGACTACACAGAAACCTTCGCTCCAGTCTCCCGTCACACCTCATTACGCATCCTACTCGCCGTCGCGGCCACGAATACATTACCACTACGCCAAATCGACGTCGCGAATGCGTTCCTATACGCACCTGTGGACGCCGAGATTTTCGTCGAACAACCCCACGGATTCATCGACGACCCCACGAAAGTATGCCAGCTGACAAAATCCCTATACGGGATCAAGCAAGCCCCGCGGCTCTGGCAGCAGCATCTCCACGGCCGTCTCGCAAAAATCGGATTCCTACAACTGCCGCATGACCAAGGAATGTACCGACTGCAGAAGGGAAGAGAGTATATCCTACTCATCGTCTACGTCGACGACCTGCTCTACATCGGCTCCACTACCGACATCGCCACCTGGTTCGAACGGGAGCTGAAAGAAGACTTAACACTCACGGTGTCCGACGAAGTGACCCAATACCTAGGACTGAATGTCGACGAAAACGACACGGCGTTCTACCTACACGCTGGAAAGTACTCAGGCACCGTCGCGAAGAAGTTCGGTCTAACACCGACTACTGTCCCAACTCCCTACCACTACGGGAACAACAACAGCACCTCCGCAAAACTCCCCGCGAAGCAAATCCAGGAGTATCAACAGAAGCTCGGCTGCCTACTATTCGCAGCAGTAACCTGCCGACCCGACCTGTCCTATAGTGCGAGTCAACTGGCGACGCATCTGAAGCAACCGGAATAGGAAGATCTCGAGGAGCTCAACCGGGCACTACTCTACTTCGTCTCCACGCCGACGATCGGGCTTACCTACAGCAAAGCGACAACACCGTCCGTACGACTACTCGGATACGTCGACGCCGACCACGCGGGAGATAGGGAAAATCGACGATCTAGGACGGGCTACATCTACCGACTAGAACCCATCGGAACTATCTCCTAGCAGTCGAACAAGCAGGAGTTAATCGCACTATCCTCGGCTGAAGCAGAGTATATCGCCCTTTGTACTGCGACCAAGGAAGGACTCTACCTGCGGGAGTTACTCGAGGAAGCGAAGATCGCGACCCTGCCCGCCTTCTCACTCCTCTGCGACAACCAATCTGCGATCAAAATCGCGAACAAGGACGGCTTCGCCAACCGAACCAAGCACATCGCCCTGCGGTACTTCTTCGTCAAGGATGAAATCGCGAAGGGGAGACTTCAACTCAGTTACTGCCCGACGACAGAAATGGCCGCAGATTATCTGACGAAGAAATTGGCGAAAGCAAAATTCGACTACTGCATGCTCCTGACCGGGCAAACAAACGTCACCGGATCTTAACACGCCAGCACTCCAGAAACGAAGGGGAGTGTTGGAAATATCTCAAAGGACTTAAGCGTTTCTGAAGTATAACACTGTACTCGAGGAAGATTACAGGGGAGCACGCGAGTCAACGGAGGTTGCACGAGGGGGCGGACAAAGAATGCGAAAAGCCTCGAAAGGTCGCAACTGGAGGTTACGACTGACCGTTACAACATCGCGGATGGTAACCGAAGCGGCAATCGAGTCGCTGTGCGACTCGATAAACCGTTCCTGTAACTGTATTCTACAACTGCTTTCTTATCCTTTATATATTGCTGTATGCTTGTTTCTTTAATCAATCACTTGTTCTCATATACTAGTACAAGGGTTCAACTCCCTCAACTTCCGCTGCACTACTCAAGTCTCACTCTACAACCGGGACTTAGTCTCTGAAAAGATCCTAAGGGCTTTTTCTCAGCCCAACAAAACCTAATGGACAAGAACGTAGCTGTGATACTAGCTGTTATGAATTATAACTCAAGAGAATAGCGCAGTATTCAATAAGGGGAACGTGATTACAGAATGACGATACAAATGAGGGCTTAGGGAATATGTAGGGCAATTGAGCAGGGTTGAATGTCGAGGGTTGGACCAATCAAGGGCTCGAGTCCTGAGGGCGACGGGGGCGAAATGGGTTCCGGGCGACTCAGGATGAGGTTGGGGGCCGAATAGATCGGCGGGGGTTGGTTTGGCGCGAGAACCGGGGGCCGAGCCTGCGGACCCGAAGGGTTTGCGTGTACTCGCTGAAGTGAGCCCCAGTAAGGAATCGTATTTCCTTACAAGCAGCAGCAGTAGCAACAGCAGCAGCAACAGCACTGGTAACAGCAGGACGAGATGTGCAGGCAAAAGCTGTTATGAGGGCATGACTTGGTCCCTCTCCCACTTCTTGGATCTCTCCAGAATGAGATCATCCATTGCTGCCTGTCGCCTCTCCCCACCCCGCCTTCTCAGCAGTAAACAACAGCAGCAGCAGTAACGGCAGGCTACCGCCGCATGACTCGGTTTCTCTCCCGCTTCCTGAACCTCTCCAGAATAAGATCATCCGTTGCTGCCTGCCGCCTCTCCCCCCCTCCTCTCCCCCCACCCCCATACCCACCACCACCCCCATACCCACCCCCACCTCCATATCCCCCTCCACCCCCAGCCCCATCCCCCTGCTGGTAATTATCCCCCCCACCGTACCCCCCTCCCCCTCCTCTCCCCCCTCCCCCTCCCCTGCCACCACGGCCTCCCCCTCTGGAGTCCCGGAACATGTCGGGGTTGTCTGGAGTGAATGCGACAAAATGAGAGAGGGGGGAGGGGGGAGGGAAGGGGGCGGGAATAGGTGGGTGGTGGAACAGGACGGAGTTGCCAGGTATCAGCAGAGGGGTAGGGGATTCCAAAGGATGTGGAGAACGGGTGAGGGTTGTATGGAAAGGTGTTACTGTGGTGGGGAGGGCAAGTTTGGAGTGGGTGGTAGAGAGTGGTGGAGAGTGGTGGAGGGTGCATCGTGATCCTGCTGCAGAATATTCCCTCAGCGGTTCACGAATATATGATGCAGAGCATACGTACCCCTTTTAAGCTTCTCCGCGTATTCGCGGCCGCGCTGAAAGAAGTCTGCACTGTAGCTGGCAGGCAGCGTGGTGGAGGGAGGGCTGGAGGGAGGGGATAGTGGAGGGGAGAGGCGATGCGCCAAATGAGTTGCGGCATGCAAGAGAAAACAAGGTGGCGCGAGGTTGGAGGTGGTGGAATCGAGGCAAGGACTACTGTGCAAATCAGAATGCATTACGCTGGATGCGCTTGTTGAGACATATGGCTCCAACAGCGAAGCTGCCTGGCTGGCAAACAGTGCAGGCTTTCGCTCCCCGCATCCCCCAACTTCCACACCCCCTCAAAATCCCGTACTGTGGGCAAGCAACAGGGACCATCCCGTCGTCCCTCCCCAAACAGCGCGGACCTCAAATGACCGTCGCTCCTTCAGAGTCGATTTACCAACGTCTGGAAATTAACACTGAAAATGACATCCCTAAAGAACAAACTATACCGTGGGCGTGCCATAAAGGGCCTCCTCTCCTGCAGCATGCGCTTAGCCTCCTCCGTTGCCTCGATGTTGCTCAGCTTATAGCTGGGCGGGGAAGGGGAGGGAATGGGAAGGAAAAGTGGAAGGGGAAGGGTAAAGGGAAGGGGAGAGAGAGGGGTAGGTGTTGCATCATGCGCCTTGCCTCTGGGAGAGAGCGGATAACAGCGTTGCCTCCTCTATGGCCTTGATGTTGCTCAGCTTAAGGCGCCGGTCCTAGAGATCGTTCTTCCACGTTTATGATCATGTGAGAGATTTTCTCCAACTCACACCCAATCAGAGGCAGTTGTTGACTCACGTCATACTTGCGAAATCAGGCAACCCGTTAAAATATTGATCTAAACGCCCAAATGATCTCTAGGAACCGCGCCCGTATAGCTGGGAAGATGGGAAGGGGGGGCGTAAGAAGGGTGGGCAGGGAACCGAGGCACAGAGGAGGCCACATGATTCACAGCTTTGCCCAGCTGGCTCCATGCTGCTCAGCTGAACTTCAGTGTCCGTGTTCAAAGCTGTTCAAAGCTGTTCCGCCCACTTTCCTTGCGTCCAGTCCAGTGCCAATTCACTCCCACTCACGTCAGCCCAACACCCTCACTCACGTACTCACTCGATGGAGAGCTGCACCCCTGCAAGCAAAGCCAGTGGTCCATGCTGGTCTGCAATGGTACTTCCTTTCGCTGCACATGCACTCCAAAACTATCCCAACTCACCCCGGCTCACCCCACTCATCTCGCAACTCACTCGATGGGGAGCTGCACCTCTGCAATGCCTGTGGTCCACGCTGTCCCGCCCTCCTCACCCTCTAATTTCCCCACCTGCGCATCACAAAGTGTTGTGTGGACATGGGGTGTGGAAATGGGGTGGGGGAAGTTGGGAACCGAGTGGAAGGAAGGGAGCGATAAGACCCGCAGCGAGTTGGCCGATTGACAACAGCCACTGCAGTCGCATTCCTCAAAATCACATGCACCCATGTGGCTGCGAACTCATCCACACCCGCTGCTGCTGAATCACGTGATAGTACATCAGCTGCTGCAGTAAAGATTCGTTACAATCACCTGCAATCGCTGCAATGGCATTCGTTATAATCACCTATGTGCTGTTGAATCTCGTATACCTTTTCTTCCGCTGCAGCCTCCCTCCTCTCCTTCACCATCTCAAATATTACAGCAACCCTCGCTATACTCCCCATTGCCCCACAACATTCGATACAATCACCTGCAAGTGCTGTGGAATCTCGTACAGCTTGTCTTCCGCCCGCAGCCCATCCTCCTCTCCTTCACCCTCTCTCCTCCCACCCCCCTCTGGCCCCGCTCCCCCTCCTCGTCTCTTCGCGAGCTCCTCCTCGATATACTTGAGCCTGGGGGCGTCGCACGAGGGGGAATTTGACGCAACATGTTACTCCATGGGGTGATAATATTCTTGAACGGCCCGTGTTGCCACCTCTCCCCCCCCCCCCCTCCCCCTCTCCTCCTAACCAACTCTCAATGTACTTGAGCCTGAGAGTGAAAAGGGGGCTGGGGAACACGGAGAGGAGAAGGAAGGAAGGAAGGCAAACTCAAGGGGACGTAGGCAGACGATGTTCCCCCCCCCCCTCCCTTCGCCTCTTGGATGGCTCGTTCCCCCATGCACTCGAGCCTGGGAATGTGTAAGGTAGACGCATGGGCGACAAGGAGTCATGACTCATGCGTGCCACAGGAAGAAACCAATAGCCTAACTATATGGGATGGACGGCCCATGGTTGAGTGGCACATTTGCCACCTCTACCCCCCCAACCCCCGCCGCTTCGCCAGCTCCTCCTTAGTGTACTGGAGCTTGGAAGGGTTGTGGCGCAGGGAAGGGCGGAGGGAGTGCAAGGAGGCTTAGGCAAATGGCGTTGGCCCCACCCCTATCTGCGCGGTCTGCTCCCCCCCAACGCGCTTGAGGAGTCTATTGTTGAGGCGCCTCAAAAATGGTGCTGGCCTTCCCCGTGTCTGTGTGGCCTGCTCCTCCTCACCGCCCTTGAGCGTGGCGGGGTTGAGAAACGGGGAAGGCCAGAGGGGAAGGCAGGCAGGGAGACTAGGTGAGAGCGTGAAGCGAGGAGGAATGAGAGAGGCGAAGAGGAAGCTCATGCAAAGAGACAGGCCGCTGTGCAAGCTCCTGCCCACTCAATGCTCTGGAGGACAAGGCTGGGCTGGGCTGGGCTGGGAGGGACAGATGGTTTCAAAACATGGAGAAGGAAGGGGAAGAGCGGAGTGAGCAGAGCGACAGATCTGATGAGAAGCTGCTAATCGTTCATCTCCCTCCACGTTCCCGAGCTGAGCTCCATCCTTCCCTTCCCGCTGTATATTTTGCACATCTCCTCGCATTCCTCCATGCTTATCTTCCTACAGTGATGGCCATATCCTTGGCAAAAGTGTCCTGTACCTCTCCTTCTATCCTCTCTGCATCTCTCTTTTTATTGGTCGAATTGAAACAGTCACGTCTCGTTACTGTCACATACATGTTCGGGTCTTCTACAGTAATCGCCGTCTCCTGCGCAAATGTGTCCTGTAGCACCAGCTCCTCCCCCCCCTCGCCCTCTTCCCCCGCCTCCCCCTGCACCCCCGCTCCTACCCCCTTCCCCTCTGCCCCCTCCGCGCCTGTCAGGGCGCCATCTGCAGCGATTCCCTTGAGGCGCACGCGCTGCTGCTGCAGTAGGCGCACCTCCTCTAGGGCGGAGCTGGAGAGTCGGGGGAAGTGGGGAGGGGGGAGGGGGGGGAAGTGGGGAGGGGGGAGGGGGGAGGGGGGGGAAGGGGAGGAAAACACAGGTGCGCCATCAGCAACGATTTCCTTTGAGCCGCACGCGCTGCTGCTGCACCAGGCGGACCTCTTCTTGGGCGGAGCTGGGAAGAGTGAGAGGGGTGGGGAGTGATGAGAAGCGGATTCCACGCAACACGGTGAGCATGTGCGCCATCCGGTCATTCCTTTAACCCGTTGCCAGAGTACCCGTTGCTAGAGTACCCGTTGCTAGAGTACCCGTTGCTAGAGTACCCGTTGCTAGAGTACCCGTTGCTAGAGCTCCCGTTGCTAGAGTACCCGTTGCTGCTGCAGCAGGCGCACAGAGCTGGGAATTCCGTAAAGGGAGGGGAAGGGGGAGGGAGGGGTGCGAGGAGAGGATTTGATCATGGGTAATTATTCCTCTCAAAAGAGATCAAGGCGAGTGCGCCATCTGCGGCTATCCGTTTCAGCCGCACCCGCTGCTGATTCATTCCGTAGGGTGGGTGTGGGGGGGAGACGGAGAGGGGTTGGGAGCGGTTCGGGATGATTGAGGGAACGCTGTGAGTGAGTGTGCCATTGACGGCTATCCCAAACGCGCTGCTGCTGCTGCTGTTGCTGCTGCTCCTGCTGCTGCTGCTGCTGCTGCTGCTGCTGCTGCTGCTGCTGCTGCTGCTGCTGCTGCTGCTGCTGCTGCTGCTGCTGCTGCTGCTGCTGCTGCTGCGGTAGGAGCAGCGTTGCTAAGAGGAAGAGAAAAGGGGGTGAAGGAAGGGGAGTGAGAGGGGGACTGGATGAAGTGAGGGTTCCAGGCAACACAGTCAGCGCGCACCAGCACCAGCTGCTGCTGGAGCAGCAGGGGGCCGTTCGCTGATAATTTTGACGGGAAGGGGAAGGGGCACGAGGAGTAGCACGGGCGACAGTCTCCCGGGCGAACAGAAGTTACGTGGCCGAACGTATTCGATAATTTTATTTGTGCCCGCGCGGACCCGAAGTCAAGACAGTCAAGTTAAATGATGGCAGTGGTCAAGCTTGCAGAAACGAGTAAAACAAATTTGCTGACGATGTGCAGTGACACCTTTCAGATGTGGGGACCTTCCACGAAAAAAATCCCCGACCACTCCAATTCGGATTGGCCAATTAAACGCGAGTGCACTGGCCAGCTCTGCGCGCCATGCCGAAGCCCCTCCGCTCAATACCACGACCTTAGTGGTATGAGTTGTGTGGGGGGTATGGCACTAAGTTTGCCCCTGAGCTCTGGGCGGCGGATTTTGTGCGTTTTGGGGGGGAACGGGAAGAGGCACGCGACTTGGGAGTTCTAGGTTTGGAAATCGCCAACTAAACCAAACCCGTCGCATGATGACGTCATTCGTCGCACTAAACTTTCGGCGACCCAACGAGCCCTCGTTTTATGTTCCGCATGCCAGCCCTTCCTCTCCGTGCCACTGTAAAATTGGCTGGCGAACGGCCCCCAGCAGACGCTCAGTCCAGAGGCACCCTAGAAGGGTTGGGATTCTAACTTGTTGACGGGCGGAGCTGGAAGAGGCAACTTGAGAGAGCAAGGAATCGGGGGGTGGAAGCGGTGGGGGTTGAAGGAATATTGGGAGTAGGGGGAGCACGGGTGGAGTACGGAAAAGCATGTCGGGTGGGGAACGTGGTTAGGGCGGTAGAGGGAGAGGTGAAGTGGCGTGGAGAGGTGAAGCGGTGTGGAGAGGCGAAGCGGCGTGGAGAGGTGAAGCAGTGTGGCCCATACCGTACGGTATGCCCGAATTCGACGGTCTAAGGCCGAGCCTAGGTTAGTTGCATATCGTACGGTATGCCGGAAAGGTTCGACCAAGACCGAATCTAAGTAGAACGCGTACCAAGCGTCCTCCTGCTCCTCGGAACCGCTATTTGATATGGTACTATAAACACGCATCATACGGTCTATCGACAGCCCTAAGGTACCCAGGGAAAGCGCATACGGACGTTTACCTGCTCCTCGGAACCTCCTACACCACCCCTCTCCTCCTGCCTCCACGGTAATATGCAACGGTGCGCATGCATGGTACGGTCTACGGTCGAACCTAGGTGAAGTCGAATCGAATCTACGGTAAGCGCGTACCGGACGTCCTTCTGTTCCTCGGGCTCCCCTCCGCCGTCCCCCTCCTCCTCCTCCAGCGCTTTCCGCTTCCGGAACTGCCGCTTCTGCTGCACCGGCATGGCGGATGCACGCTGAGGTGGCAGAAATATGCGGAGCAAAGAAATACGCGTCGCGGAGAAATATGCGTTGCAGATGAATAGGCGTCGCAGAGGAATAGGCGTAGAGACGGTGGCTTGTGGGACTACGAAGGCTGTAATGGAGGCTCTCTCGTGAGTACAAGGCTCAACCCTAAAAATACACGCAGATTGTACGCTACACCTTAGTGTCGTCCTTTCTTCCTTGAAACCTCGAGCCGAGTGCTTCTCGAGGTCCACTCCAGTTGAGTCTCGAGAGTTGAAACTCCAAACAACAGTACGTCTGCCAAGGTGTAGTTGTGTACATGCAAAAACTGCTCTCGAATACATTTTCCGTGCGTTTCACGTTTTCACTTGAGGCAGGAGTCGATTCCATGTCGACCCCGACACCTGTGGTGCTCTCTCACTTCGTTGCAGCTGGTTACAAACTGTACCTGCTGGGAACTCGCTCGGAGCTTTCGACACCGTCAAATCTCGTCAACGAGTTTGCACACGCTGGGAATGAGAGACACCAGGTCGAAAATTCGCATAAATCGGCATGACACATCCTCCACGTGAGATTTTTTGGTAACATTCACAATGTGGATAGCTTCCTCCAGAAATTACAAAATCCGTATCGGCAGTCTGCCTTCCATCTACCGTCCACGACGTTACTTGGCGTGAACTGAAATCGCAACTCTCTCGCTCACTTTTTGGTTGAGATGCGATCTCGACAGCAAGAAATAGACCATTCGTAACAGGGATGGAATCGTATGTTTTTGCACCAGTGAATCCAACTACAAGGCGGCTGTTAAAACCCGCGTACCAAATGTCCCAAAATTGCCTCGAGCTTCCTACCTTTGGTTGAGAGTTCCCTAGGAGGACTACTCCAAAACCAATCCTGTCCTCCTATCCAACCAACCTTCCTACCATTGAACTATCTGGCACGTGGGTTTTAAGGGCGTGTAACATTTTTTACGAACTCGCCTCAGGGTCGACCGTTCAGAAAGGTTGCACGCGGTCTGGTGAGATTTACTACGATTTGTACAAAACAACAAGTGGTACAGTACGGTGAATGTTCGGTTCGGAAAATGTTACACGCCCTAAAAACTTCCCTCAGTCATCTGCTCTCAGTCCCGCACTCCAAGTGTCTCTCGTGACACAGTTCTGGTGTCAACCTTCGTCCTCCATATCAACGCCATCTTGCGCCACCAGTCATGCACGCCACAGCACTCCCTGCTTCCGCCATCAATGCCGTCGCCGGCATCGCATTGTCTGGTTCGCCGGCGGCAGTGTCATCACCGTTAGCCAGAAACATTCGTATTGGAAACGCAAAACCACGCGCCGTAACACCTGCCAACGCAGCGGCAGGATGTGGCACGACGGCCGGGTGCGTCCATGCCAACTATACCAATAAAGCGCCTAGTATTAAGGCGCGTGAAACGCACGCTGCTACAGTGCCCAGGCTCCTCCACGGCGGAGAGCGGGGGTCGAGGCGGGTGGTCGCGTCGGCCGCAGCCGACGGAGCCGCAGCCTCTGCGGATGTGACTGAAACGGATGTGACTGAAGCGGATGCGGCGGCGGTGGAGGCAGCGGCGTGGGAGATTCTGGACGACTTTAATCGACGCGACGTGCGGGGGGAGCCGCAGGTAGGGCGAGAGGAGAGAGTCGAGAGCCGAAAGAGGGCTTCTGGCCGCATTCCCGCCTTCCCAGGCCGCCCTTCTCGCCCAGCTGTCCCTGTCAACCCTCAGGTGTCTCCTTTACCCTCAGGTGTCTCCTTTACCCTCAGGTGTCTCCTTTACCCTCAGGTGTCTCCTTTACCCTCAGGTGTCTCCTTTACCCTCAGGTGTCTTTGTTACCCTTACATATCTCTGTTACCCTCAGGTGTCTCTGCCAACCCTCATGTTTCTCTGCTGGTGTCTCTGTTAACCTCAGGTGTCTCTGTTACCCTCAGGTGTCCCTGTCTCTCAGGTGTCTACCATCCATCCAGGCATTTTCGTCAACCCTCATGTGTCTCTGCTCCCCTGGTGACGACATTCATTCATCTGCGCCTCGCCTTTGCTCCACTCTCCATCACTCGCCAGCAAGCCCGAATCTCCAGCACCCCAGAGCCCGACGACTCTGTCTTCCCCCGCTCTGTCTTCCCCCGCTCTGTCTTCCCCAGCTCTGTCTTCGCCCTCTCTGTCTTCCCCCCCACTGCACTTCAGGATCTCCCCCTGTTAATGAGGCGCTTGAGGAGTCCCTAGCCAGCCCAGATCCTTATGAATCCCTTTTCACAATGCACACTCCCCTTCCCCCTCTCTGGGCCAGGCCAAGGGCGGATTGCAGTCCTCCAGCCTTCTTTCCTGCTCTCGAGGCTCTCGAGGCATGTTGCCCACCCGCCCCATCTTCATTGCCCACCCGCCCCATCCTCTTTGCACTCCGACCCCCTTCTTCCCTCTGTGCGCAGGTGTCCCTATCAACCCCAGGGGGCGTTGCAGCCCTCAAGGCCTCTCTGCTGCTAGCTGCTGAAGCCGCACTACGGGACGAATCCGCCCGCCCGCTGCTTGGCATCTGCACAGGGAGCGTGGAGGAAGGCTTTACCTCTCTGCGCCAATACCTGCTGGCACTTGGCTGCGCTGACCCTGTGAGTGCCCTCGGCTGTGCTGACCCTGTGAGTGAACCGACGATGTTGTTGCTGTGGCCCTGTAAGGGCACTGCGTTGCGTGTGGAAGCCCTGGGTTTGAGCGCGTGTGCTGCCACTCGCGCAGTGTGGAGTAGAGGAGGCCTGAGCCTCTCTGCATCGTCAGTACCTGGTGGCCCTTGGGCGCTGCGACCCCGTGGGTGCACTGGTTTGATGAACACCTACCTGGCATTCATTGTGTGCTCATGCTGCTACTCATTGGGTGCGGAGGAAGGGGGTGCCCCTCTACGCCAGTATCTGCTGCTGAGCCTGGGGTGGGGTGCTCCAACGCTTTGAGTGCACTTCAGCTGGGTTCAAACAGACCCTAAGCGTGTGTGCTTTTAGAGCCACCATCTTCTCACACCCCATCACCATCTTCTCACACCCATCTCGCTGCCCAAAAATACAAGCCCAGCAGGCTCTTCTCCCTCGCACCTCATAACCATCCTCGCACCTCTCCTCCCTCATAAGCATCCTCGCACCTCTCCTCCCTCATAAGCATCCTCGCACCTCTCCTCCCTCATAACCATCCTTGCAACTCTCCTCCCTCATAACCATCCTTGCACCTCTCCTCCCTCATAACCATCCTCGCACCTCTCCTCCCTCATAACCATCCTCGCACCTCTCCTCCCTCAACCATCCTCGCACCTCTCCTCCCTCATAACCATCCTTGCAACTCTCCTCCCTCATAACCATCCTTGCACCTCTCCTCCCTCATAACCATCCTCGCACCTCTCCTCCCTCATAACCATCCTCGCACCTCTCCTCCCTCATAACCATCCTCGTGCCTCTCCCTCATAACCATCCTCGCACCTCTCCTCCCTCATAACCATCCTCACACCTCTCCTCCCTCATACCCATCGTCGCACCCCCCCTCCTTCCTTCAAACCTAGCAGGCTCTTCTAGGTCAGCCCGAGGGCCTGTTGGTGGCGTGGCAAGCCAAGTATGCCAAGGAGGTGGTGGGACCCGCATACATAAAGTTCAATAGTAACTCCAAGGTACATCAAGTCCAAGGTACATCAAGTCCAAGGTGCATCAAGAGTAGTAACTACGAAGCACAAAAACGCTTGAATAATTGTGGAACGCTCCAAGAAATACACTTAAATGGCTCAACTGTGCTTCAAGATACTAAGAGTTTGACATATCTGTAAGCAAACGTGTGCGGCATGTGAACTGTGGGGGCCATTCTCATCTGATTTACAGGCAACTAGGAGTACTGATTGCCCATACCTGTCTGTACCTGTCTGTACCTGTCTATGCCTTTCTCAAATCACTCTTTAATTCAAGCAGCTTATGAGTTGACTGAAGGTTTTACCCCTCTCCCCCTTTTTTCATGCGCTTATTGTCCAATGAAGACGTGCCAGGTGTCGCCATACCAGACAGGGACGTTCCGTGGAGTAATTGTTCAGGTGTGCATTTTGTTGTTCTCAATGCGTTGCCATCACCATGTTTCTATGTACCATCCACATGCTACCATCCACATGTTGCTATCCGTGTGTAACCCTCATACACTACCATCCACATGTTACTATCCGTGTGTAACTGTAAGGAATTAGTAATTCCTTACTGAGGCGCACTGCTAGTGGGTACACCGAACGTACATGGCACCAGGCTAGGCCCTAGTTTCATCACCATACACGCTACACCGAACCTTTTCCGCGTCATTCCGAATCGCTCCGCGTCCTCGAATGCCTTCGCCGAACCTGTGCATCACGCGGTTAGGATTCGCTCTGGTGTTCCTATATCTTGCCTCGTAATTCATTGTACCGACAATCTGTGAATCTGTCATTTCGAGCTTCGATATTCACTTCCGCGCTATTCTAGGTTTCCACCCATAACACCTGGTATTCAGAGCACTTTCCTAGGCAACAACTTCCGCCGCCCATGAATTTTTCTCTAGGGGGGGTTAAGGAGGGATGGTTGGAGGGCACAAAGCTGCACAGCGGTGGTCTTGCAGCTAGTTATGTTTAGCTGCAACAACTACGATAGCGTGTGTGCACCATCACCACTCGATCCGTGCCTTCGGACGGTCAGGATGGATCGTATCCTCCCTCCCCCAAGAACGGACAGAATCTGCTGTCACGTGGATTTTGGATCTCGTCACTGTTCAACCTCGGTTGCATTCTGTGTGGCAACTGACGTCGTCGACACGCGGCGAAGACGATTTCGAGCGCGGCGACGTGGTTCACCGATTCGACGGCGAAAAAAGCAAGGAGCTCGCCACAAGTCGACGGGCTCGCGAAAATCCCCAGGCGAGAAGATTGTTTCGGCAGGAGGGCGCGAAGCTGATCTTCAGCTGCAAAGTTACTTGTAGCTGGGCGTCACGGTTTTCGGCGTTTCCGGCAAGGGACACGCAAGTGAAGACGGACTTCGGATACTGTTCAGCAACGTGGCGTTGGAGTTTCCGGCACGACCAAGGATCGCACTGTAGCACACGTGGGGCTCAGGCACGGACGAATTTCGAGGATTACTGACCTTGGGATCGATTCGCGTGACCCGCCCGCCTGGAGCTGTATTTCGTCTGCCCTGGAGTTTCGAGCTCGGCGAGTTTGGATTCCTATAGAGGAAGCCATTTTTGT